CCCCCAGCCCACAATGTCCCTCATCGCCGCGCTCGCCCGCCTCTCGGCAACAGTTCACCACCCACTCAACGGCGTCACTGCCGGCGACCAGCTCAACCCATACCTCCCACTCACCCCCGGCACTCAGCTCCTCACTGATCGCACTTTCCTTCCTTCCCTCCCCACCCCACCAGGCAATGTCGTCGTCCACGTCCTAAATGCCGAAAGCGCAGCCGCACCTCGCGTTCCCCGCGCCGTCACCCTCATCTCTCGCACAGCTCAGGAAGCTTATGACCATGCCCTCGTTGCACTCCGCGTCGCCAAGGAGACCAACGCCAATGTCTTCAACTTTGTTGCAGCAGGCGTCGACGGCGAGGTTGCCAAAGTGTCTGACAAAGAGGCCGAAGCCTTCCTTTCCGTGGCAATTTCGGACGAGACCGATGATGCTGCCATTCTCAAGGCCTTTGAGGCAGCATCACTCGAGCTCCTCAAGGTTACCCGCCGCGCTCAGCGCGCACTCGTGCACCACGGCGACGGTGAGCGGGTCGTCCTCAACTTCCTTCCCGGCAAGCTGGATGCCGACAACGTTGTCGACATTGCCCTTGCTCAGCCAGTTCCCGCCGACAAGCTCCGCGCGCTCAAGGGCCGCGAGTTTGTCGTTGTCGAGGCTGCCTCCGGCAAGTACGGTGCCGCTTGGGCGTCTGTTGTCGAGGCCCTCGAGGGCCAGGACGCCTCTGTCCGCTCCGTCCTTGTTTCCGCACCTTCAGCCCTTGACGATCTCAAGAATGTAATCTCCTCGGGCGCCCCTCTTGCCCGCGTTGGCTCCCCCAAGCCCCTCCCAGAAATCCCCTCCAGCTCAATCACTGTGCCCCCCGCAGAGTCGACGTACACATCGCTCCTAGAGCGCTCCCCACACCCTCTCGAGGTCCTCAACGACCCCTCGCACCTCGCTGCATCTGAATCCACCTCGCCCCTCTACGCCTTTGGAAAGGCCGTCGCCGTCCGCAAGGAGCGCGAGCAGCTCATTGAGCTTGCCAAGAAGGTCCTCAAGGCCAAGGACACTCGCAAGGAGGTCCACAACGCCCTCGGCAAGTGGCTCCTGGGCAAGGATGGCAAAGACTCTGCGTCGCTCGGCGAAGAAGCAGCCAAGGCCCTCGGTCAGGGCGTCAACGCCGATGAGGCCGAGCTTGTCGCCCTCGGCGCCAAGGGCCACTGGGCCAAGCGCGCCCTCTGGATCGTCGTGTCCAACTCGTGGGCTGCCGATCTTGCCTCGTCCGGTCTCCACCACGCTCTCGTCTCCGGCCTTGATATCAACCTTCTCGTTTATGAGACCCAGCCCTCGCCCTTCTCGCCCCTCGCCCAGAAGCAACGCGAGCGCAAAAAAGACCTGGCGCTCTACGCGCTCAACCTAGGGGACGTCTACGTCTCGTCCGTTGCCGTTTATGCAGACTACGCCGGTGTGATCAACGCCATGCGTGAGGCCGAGGACTTTACCGGTCCCTCGCTTGTCCTCGCCTACCTTCCCTGGGGCGAGAAGGAAGACGGCGCCCTTGTCGGCCCCACCGAGAAGGCTGGACCCCTTGAGCGTCTCCGTGAGACTAAGCGCGCCGTCTCGGGTGGCTGGTGGCCTCTGTTCCGCTGGAACCCGTCGCTTCCCGACGAGAAGCGCTTTAGCCTCGACGCATCTCAAATTAAGAACGCCCTCGCCGAGTTCCTTGACCGCCAGAGCCACCTCTCCCAACTGACCCGCTCGCAGCCCGACATTGACCCCAAGATCACCAGCTCGGCTGGCAAGGACCTCTCGGCTGCACGCAAGCAGAAGGCCCGGGAGGCCTTTGACAAGCTTGTCAACTCGATCGACGGCCCCGGCCTCCTTGTGCTTTACGCCTCGGACGGCGGTAACGCCGAAAAGGTCGCCAAGCAGGTTGTCTCTCGCGCCAAGATGCGTGGCGTTGCCGCTTCGCTTCGTGTGCTCGACTCGATCGCCTCGGACATTGTTGAGAACCTCGCTGCGGAGAAGAACGTCGTCCTGATCACCTCCACCGCCGGCCAGGGTGAGCCTCCCCTAAACGGCCGTGAGTTCTTCAAGACCATCGGCAAGATCGACACCGCCGCATCGGCACCGAAGCTCGCCGAGACCCGCGTCGCCGTCTTCGGCATGGGTGACTCCAAGTACTGGCCCCGCAAGGAGGACTACGTTTACTACAACAGGCCTGGCAAGGACATCTTCCCCAAGATCCTGGCTCTTGGCACCCAGGAGCTCGTCCCCCTCGGCCTCGGTGACGACTCGGACCCCGACGGGTGGAAGACTGGCTACAAGGTCTTTGAAACTAATCTCTGGCGTGCCCTCGGCGTTGACTCGGTCGACGTCGTCGAGGAGGCCGAGGAGGTCATTGCCAACGAGCACATCAAGATCGCCTCCAACTACCTCCGCGGCACCATTCTGGAGGGACTCGCAGACGAGTCGACCGGCGCCATCGGCGCCTCGGACCAGCAGCTCACCAAGTTCCACGGCACGTACATGCAGGACGACCGTGACATCCGCGAGTCGCTCGCCGAGCAGGGTCTTGAGCCTGCCTACTCGTTTATGATCCGTGTCCGCATGCCCGGTGGCGTATGCACGCCCGAGCAGTGGCTCCAGATGGACCAGATCGCCGACGAGCACGGTAACGGCACCTTCAAGCTCACGACTCGTCAGACTTTCCAGTTCCACGGCGTTGTCAAGAAGCACCTTAAGCCCGCCATGCAGGCCATCAACCGCTCGCTTCTCGACACCATCGCCGCCTGTGGCGACGTTAACCGTAACGTTCTCTGCTCGGTCAACCCCGGCATCTCCAAGGTTCACGAGACGGTCTACAACTTCTCCAAGGCCATCTCGGAGCACCTTCTCCCCGCCACCACTGCGTACCACGAGATTTGGCTCGACAAGAAGCCCGTCTTCCAGAACGCTCTTACCGACCTCGAGCCCCTTTACGGCCCGTACTACCTGCCCCGCAAGTTCAAGATCGCGGTGGCTGTTCCCCCCGACAACGCAGTGGACGTCTTCACAAACGACGTCGGCTTCATTGCAATTGTTGAGAACGGCCAGGTCATCGGCTACAACGTCTCTGTTGGCGGTGGTATGGGTGTCACCCACTCGAACAAGAAGACCTACCCCCGTCTCGGCACTGTTATTGGCTTTGTCCGCCCCGAGGACGGCTGCAAGGCGGCCGAGGCCATCATGCTTGCGCAGCGTGACCACGGTAACCGCAAGGACCGTAAGAACGCACGTCTCAAGTACACTGTCGACCGCCTGGGTGTGCCCAAGTTCAAGGAGGAGGTCGAGAAGCGCTTTGGCAAGGCCCTGGAGCCGGAGCGTCCATACTCGTTCGACTCGAACCTTGACCAGTACGGGTGGATCCAGGGAGCGAACGGCAAGCACCACTTCACTCTGTTCATTGAGAACGGTCGTGTTGAGAACTCGCCCCGCAACCAGTTCAAGGATGGCCTGAAGGAGGTTGCCAGGGCGCACAAGGGAACCTTCCGCCTGACTGCCAACCAGCACGTCATCCTGTCCGACGTCGCGACCGAGGACCTGCCTGAGATGAAGCGCATTCTCGCCAAGTGGGGTCTGGACAATGTCGACCACTCTGGGCTCCGCCTCTCGTCTTCGGCTTGTGTCGCCTTCCCGACGTGTGGTTTGGCAATGGCTGAGTCTGAGCGCTACCTCCCGGTGTTGATCGACAAGGTGGAGAAGATCTGCGAGGAGGCGGGCGTTGGCCACGACGCGCTTGTCATGCGCATGTCGGGATGCCCTAACGGCTGCTCGCGTCCATGGGCCGCCGAGGTGTCGTTCGTCGGCAAAGCGCCCGGGTCGTACATGATGTGCCTGGGTGGCTCGCACCTCGGGACACGCTTGGTTAAGCCTTACAAGGAGAGCGTGACCGAGCCGGAGATTCTGGCGATCCTCGAGCCCATGATCAAGCAGTGGGCCAAGGAGCGGCACGACGGCGAGCGGTTCGGGGACTGGACCGTGCGCGCGGGGCTTGTCAAGCCTACGCTGTCGGGCAAGACGTTCTGGGACGACAGCTGCGTGGAGTAAAGAGTTAGGGGGAGAATGTCCCGCCGGCGCGTGGGTTAGAGTTGTGCACTGTCATAGTTATCATACAATCTGCATCGGATCTTGTCGAGAGCTGGCCGCAGCTGGGTTGTGCGACCGTGCGAGTGCCGAAGGTGGAACAAGACGCACAGTGGGCAAAGTCGGGTGGTCAAGGCCATTTCTGTACCGTTCGCTTCCGCCCAGTTCCGCAGCACATGCCATGAACTCCGCACCCTCCCTCTCTCGCACGAGCTCGCCTCCGTCCCACCCCGAAAACCAAATGGCACAGATGCGCGAGCTTGCTCTGCGCTGGTCCTCATCGTGATCGCAGCGTACGTCTCACCGTCTCTTGGCGCGCTGCTTTACGCATCGGAGGCCCGACACTCGCCGCGGGTGCGAAATGACATCACAGTGACTCACCATTTGGGACTTGAGGCTGGCTTGCGGCCGATGAGAAATATAAACGGCGACACGGCAGTCACCTCGCCTCACCCCACTCTCAAATATCATGTTATCCCGCATCTCGCTACCTCTCGCGCGCGCGGCACGAACGCCGGCGCGCACATTCGCCTCCTCGGCCAGCATTGCGAAAGACAAACAACGCCTCGTGATCCTCGGCTCGGGCTGGGGCGGCTACAACTTGGCTGTGAGTGCAGCACCCCTCCCTTCCGCTGGCGACGTCCGCTTACACCAGCGCAAAGCGGACAAGTCTCTGTACGACGTGACGGTCATCTCGCCCAACTCGTACTTCAGCTTCACACCGTTCCTGGCGTCGACGTGCGTGGGCACCCTCGAATTCCGGTGCGCGACGGAGCCAGTGCGGCGGCTCAAGCACGTCTCGTACGCACAGGGCTGGGCGCACTCTGTCGACATCGCGGAGCGGTGCGTGCGTGTCGTTCCCGCTCTCCCACCGCTGCATCCCGATGAGGGAGGCTCGAGCGCCTCAACCGTAGCCAGCGGATCGAGCGGGGCGGAACGACACGCCCCCGCCTCGCCAGGCGACGCATACACCCTCCCCTTCGACAAGCTCGTGATCGCGACGGGCTGCCGCTCCGCCTCGTTCGGCACGCCCGGCGTAAAAGAGCACGCGCATTTCCTCAAGGACGTGCGCGAGGCGCGCGCGATCCGTTTCGCGCTGCTCGAGAACCTCGAGATGGCGAGCGAGCCGGGCATCAGCGACGCGGAGCGGCGGCGGCTGCTGAGCATGCGCGTCGTCGGCGGCGGGCCGACGGGCGTCGAGTTCGCCGCCGAGCTGCACGACTTTGTCACACAGGACGTGTACCGCCTCTACCCGCACCTGCGGGGACTCGTGCGCATCACGCTGTACGACCTCGCGCCCGGCATCCTCCAGAGCTTTGACCACAGCCTGCGCGCGTACGCCGAGCGCAAGTTTGCGCGCCAGGGCGTCGAGGTGCGTGGCAACAGCCGTATCGTGTCCGTCAGCAAGGAGTATCTCGAGATTGCGCCCAAGGACGGGGACGGAGAGCCGGAGCGCGTGCCCTATGGGCTTCTCGTGTGGAACACGGGCCTGCAGGCCAACCCATTTATCGAGGCGCTGCCGGGCCTCGACAAAGACCCAAAGACCAAGTCGTGAGTGCGAGCGGGCGGGCCGGGGGGTCGGATGGATGGCGTGCGCGAACGAGCCACGCTGCATGTCCCCACCTGCACCATGCTGATGCCAGACTCAAAGTTGATCCACACTTGCGCGTCTGTGACACCTCCGGCACGCCGCTGGACGGCATCTTCGCGATTGGGGATAACGCGACCCCGAACGACGGGCACCGCCTCCCAGCGACGGCGCAGGTGGCCTCCCAGATGGCGGGACACATGGCCAAGACGCTGAAGCTGGTCGGCCGCGGCGCGCGCATCGAGAACACTCCGGCCTTCCGCTGGAAAGACCATGGCAGCATGGTCTTTATTGGCGATTACCGCGCCATGGTGGACCGCAGCAAGAGCCGCGACGACGGACCTCGGGCGCGGCTTAGTGGGTTCGTCGCGTGGATCGTGTGGCGAAGCTACTATGCTACGCTCGCCATGGGGTGGCGTAACAAGGTGAGGTGCGGCGGCTGGGTGGAGAAGCTGACAGCAGATCCTCATCCCCGTATACTGGACGCTCGCCTTGTTCTTCGGCCGCGACGTCACAAACTTTTAGTGTATTAGTACAGGACGCTGAGACTGAAGCGCTGCATTCAGACTGTCGCCCACTACCTCCATGGCCAACTGAGACCAAACCTTGCATCGCAGTCTATCATGTCATATCGCACTCACACACTTACTAGCATTGCACACGACACCTCCCACCCCCGCACTCACGCGCACCCATGTCCTAGAGGTGCGCCTTGAAAAGCGCCTCAGAGATAAACTGCGCCTGCAGCTTGCGGCCGCCAAACCAGCGGTCCTGCAGACCCACACGCGCCCGTTCACTGCCGTTAAGGTCGGCAAACTCGATGTAGACGTCGCCCTGGCTCATCTTGTCCACCTTGATGCGCGCGACGCGCCCGTATTTTGCGTTCACCTCGTCCTGTATGTCCTCGGCCAAGTCCGTGTCCCAGTTACGCTCGGTCTCCTCGTCTGGGTTGAACATGTTGCTCACCATCAGGAAGTGGGTCGGCCGCTGCGCCTCGGGCTTGGGAGGCGGCGCCACGCGCGGGCGGGAAGCGTCGTCCGTGCGCGCAAGCTTCTTCATGAGCTCCATGCGGCCCGCCGCATCGAGGCGTCCGCCGCGGCGCTGGTCACCCTCCATGTTCTCGAACTGTGCGTTGCGCTCCTCGACCGGCTGCACCTGGATTTTCTCGCCAGCGAGCTCAAAGTCGTTCATGGCGTCAAGCGCCATCTGGGCAGCAGAGAGCTCAGCAAACTGAACGTACGCGGTTCCCTTGGATGCTCCCGCGTGGTCGACGTGCAGGTCGACAAACTCGATCTCGCCGAACGGGTCAAACACCTGTCTGAGGTCATCCCTAGAGAGCGTGTCGGAGAGTTTGGTGATATACAGACGGTGATACGGGATCGCTGCACCGGCGTGCGCGTTCGGGTCGATGCTCGAAGGGATAGCACCTGGCGTAATGGGCGGGTAGCGCGGTCCACGCGGACGGCTAGCGTGCAGCTCCTTCTGGGTCTCACGTTGTCCACGAATGCTTGCAATGACAGCCTTGAGCGACATTCCCTCGTATGAGTCGGCCGGCGTGAGCCCTACAAGGATGGGGATACCGACCACCACCTTGCCTGAGAGGTTGAGCGCCTTGTTGACCAGGTCAGGACTACGGAGTGTTACATAACCCATGCTGTCATTAGCCTTTGCGCTTCAGTATAGCTCACCCCTTGGAGCGTCGTCCCTTATCGGTAATGATACGGGCGTCGCGAACCGACCCGCGGCCAAGCATGTCCTCGAAGAAGTGACCTAAGTCCTGACTGGTGAGACGTGCAGCAATCTGCGAAACGAATACCGAGCGAGCCTCTGCATCGACCTCTTCAAGCAGCTGACTCGCCTCGCGGGACAATGATCTGCGGCGAGGAGAGTTGTATTCGCGCTGGCGTAAGTTTGTGGGCGTGTGTTTCCGAGCCAGTACTCACACCTTCGCGCCGGGCGAGTTCGCGCCGCTCCTCGCGCATCTCACGATCACGCCGCTCGCGCTCGCGCTCCTTTTCCTCGCGTGTCATGGCTCTAAGACGCGCACGCTCGCGTTCGCGCGAGTCGTCGCGGGGACGGCGGTGGTCACGAGAACGGTCACGAGAGCGGGAGCGGTGGCGGTACTCGCGCGAACGCGAGCGGTCCCTACGGCGATCGCGGTCGCGGCTACGGCTGTGGTCACGGCGGCGGTCATCATCCCTGTCGCGCTCGCGCTCGCGGCGGCGGCGACGTTCACGGTCGTCATCTTCGTCATCATCGTAGCGGCGGCGGCGCTCGCGGCTTCGGTCACGATCGTCGTCACGGCGCTTGGACCTTCTGTCACGATCATTATCGTCATCTTCGCGATGACGCTTCTCACGTTTACTGTGGGTCAGCAAGGGTAGCTGAGGCAGACGAATTGAGAGAGAAAGGAAGGAGGTGAGGAAGATGTGGCTGCTGGAGCAGAAGATACGCACGTAGTGAGTTCTGGAGTACGGTCACGGCTGCCGGGCAGGGGACGCGGCGAGTGAGGAGGAGTGTCTGCCATGAGTGTGTCGACGAAGATGCGGCTGGTGGTAAGGTAACGCTCTAGGTTGTGAGAGGGATGATAGTGATAGGGAGAGAGTGGTCGACAGCAACAGCGCGAGTTGCGAGACATCGAGAGGAATTGAAGTGTGGGCGGAATATTGAAGTGTTGGTGGCATGCCTATTCGCGTGCCTACTGGAAATGGGACGTGGGGCAGTTCGGCTCCTGCGCACAACCAGACTTGGACCAAGAGCATGGACCAACACAAGTGGGCCAAGTGGGTCGTCCATGCATGAGATAGCAACGTGCTGCCATCACTGCTCGACGTGAGTGTACGCACGCAATGCATATGATGTGTCTACTCCAAAATCCCCCACCCACGGCTCCTGACCTTCGGCGGAAGCCCATTCCACCACTCGGCACCAGGCTGCTCCTTTTTGCCTACAGGCTTGACACGCACCAGTTCAAGCCACCCGTTGCGCGTGAGAGCGAGTACGCGCCGTCCGCCCTTGTCCAGCACAATGGTCCCCGGCTTGCCTCCTGCCGCGGTAGCCCACTCCTCTGCCTGGGGTGGCACCTTGCCGGCCAATTTAACAGCCGTAAGCTGCACCCCATAGTCACGCTTGACTGTGGAGTTGCCGTGGACGAGCTCCTGCGGCCGGTGGGCCCAAAGAGGCTGTGCATGCCCGAATCCCCTGTGACGGGCCTCCAAGAGCTCGGCTTCGTGCTCAGCCCAGTTTACGCGGGCAGTGGCGTTCGTAATCTTCGGCGCCTTCGTCACCTTCGCCGGGTCCTGTGCGCGCGGCGTCGCATTCCCTGTCTGCAGTTGGCGGAGGACCTGGACCAACAGGCGGCCGCCGATGTGTGCAAGATCGGGCAGAAGGGTGTTGTACGTGGCCTCCTTCGGAATGGGCTGAGGTCAGCTGGCAGAACACTGGGATCTACGTACCAAGCCGTCGACGGCGCCGAGAATCGCACCGGCATCCACGCCAACCTCTCGCGGGGCCATGCTCTGCACCGTAACGCCAGTAGAGGGTTCGCGGTTGGCGATGGCCCACTGCACTGGGGCGGCGCCGCGGTAGAGGGGTAGTGCGCTTGGGTGGACGTTTAAAGCATGGGCGAAGGGCGTGAGGAGAGGTGTAGGAATGATGTGACCGAAGGATGCCGTAAGGAGGAGGTGGGAAGGATGATGCTTCTCGAACGCCGGAGGGAACGCAAACGGGCCAGATGGGACGGCGTGGTGCTCGAGATCTCGCTCTAGCGCGAATCGCTGAAGAGGTGCTGTTGTCAGAATGGAGAGAGATTGCAGCAGAGAGATCGGGGCAACGACTCACGCGAGTACGTTTGCGAGCGATTCCGCCCAATTGCGCGCTCGCGCGGGGTGACGACTGTAATGCTCTGCCAGACATCTAGAGTTAGCGGCAGCTGACTGAGAGCGCAAGAGCAATGTTACCTTCTGCGTCAAGGAGAGCTTCGAGGGCGGCGATGGAGAAGATGTCGCTCCCACAGAATAGAACACGGAATGGCTCGGCGGGGCGTTCTGAAGTCGAGAACTGGCGCGAAAGATAAGGGGCTCGGTTTGGGCCAAGGCGGGAGAGAACGGAGCGTGCGCGGAGTGACAAGATCATGGCAAGGATCTTAGATGTGTAGATGCGTGTGAAGAAGGGGGAGGTGAGAAGAGAGCAGAGAGAGGGGTGTGGGGAGATGCGATGATGATGATGATGCTGAGGACTAGTCGAGTGTGGGAATCGGTATTTGGTCACCCCTCAGCCAACTTTGTTTAGGGCTGAAATGCCAAGTGCCAAGTGATCGTCCATCATCTTTCTCTTTCTGCTTTCTCACATTACCCTCCATCTCTTTCTCTCCATCAATCCTCATCTCCTCGTCATTGCTCCTCCCTCCCCCCATTCTTGCACACGCCTAATTTTGTTCACCCCTCCTGTTGCCTACTGGCCTCTGCTGCCCCGCTCGAGCAATGCACCCCCGACTATAATTCCCTCCCCTCGCATTGCTTCTCCCGCTTCTCCGATAACCCTTCCGATCCCATCAACAAAAGGATCGACACAGGCCACAGCTGCATCGACACCGGCTGATACCGTCTTATCTTCACCTACTCCCTCTTCCTCGACACTACATCCATTCACACCGTCTCCGGCACCCTCCCCTCCACGTCCGCGAGATGCCGTTCAATCTACGCCTAAGGGCTGTGCTGGGCCTTGTACTGGCGCACCGTGCGGCGGCGTGGATTCCCGCCATGCCCATCAACGACACCACCGGGCTCCAGATCAGCGTAGGGAGCCAGCTGCAACTGAGCTACAACGATCCACTAGCAACATACGGCACAACAGTGTGAGTGTGTTGGGCCACACGTGGATTGTGCTGGGCGTTTGGGGGTGGCAGGCACGGCCGTTGCTGGCAACAGCATGCACGCACGCTCCACAGCGAGGTCGGGCTGCAATCATATGCTGCGCAACCTCGGTGGCGAGCAGGTGCAGCATTTGTATGTATGGGTGTCAGATCTCAGAGCCCCGGGGTCATCCATTCGATGATTATCGCTGCGGTGCTGCGGAGTTGGCGACTGCGCACTCCCACCCTTCCCACGGACCACATGTGCCTCCATCAACCTTGACCGGCATTGTCGCTCACACCAGCTCGTATCAACTCCAGTCGGACGACACAGAGTCGGGCATCAACACAACGCGAGGAGCGTTGGTACATTTCACGCCCGAGATGTACCAGGAGAACGTGACGACATCTACCCCGTGGATCGCTCTAATTTCCTGCGAGATCTCTCCAGAGCGCAACGCAAGTACACAACAGTGTGAGTATCCAACTGTGAGCTGCAAGCATCGCGCGCCGTTGCCCTCCAGTATATCCCCCGCATTGATATCGCTGTCGATGGCGAGGGGCATACATCAGTGAATGACCCCATTCCAAAACCATCTCCCGTCTTTTATCTTACCCTGGAAGCGGAATGCTAACGATCAGTTGCAGACATCTTCACCCTCGCGCGAGATAGCGGTGCCGTCTCAGCACTGCTCTACTCCACCAACTCGTCCATGTGTCTCATCAACCTCGAGTACATCGAGGAGTTTTGGCATGTGCTCGATATCTTTGCTACCACCGACATGGCTGGTGCACGATTGCTGGAGGGCCAGTTCAGCTACACCACCCCTGAATTCATCAACTTTAATGCTACCTTGCTCAACGAGTCCGCATCGGACGTGAACGCGACATTGAACAAGAGGCCGCTCAAGCGCAAAAGCTTCATCGTGGCCGAGTTGACAGCCAAGAACGGCACCGCGAAACCCACCCAGCCGGAGCGCCCGGCGTCTACCGAGGGTGGTGCGGAGGGCGGCGATAACAAAAAGAAGAACAACGCAATGATCGCGGTGTATGTCATCACGGGGTTCATCGCGGCGATGGTTCTCATGACATGCTTCTCGGTTGTGCGGCGATCACTCCGTCCACAAACGCAGCGGAGGTACATCCCAGGAGGGGCGGTCGAAGAGGGAGATGTGGGCCCTCCCCGTCGTGTGGGCCTCGCACAGGCTATTGTCGATACCTTCCCTATCATCAAGTTCAACAAGCACCAGTCGGCTCCAGCACCAGAGCAAGCACACGCCAAGGAGATGGAGCCCTCGCTCAACAGCTTCGCACTGCAGGAGCTGCGGGCTCCGGGATCAGCATTTCACCAGACCTCCACATTGCGCGGTAGCAGCACGAAGGGAAGCATCGCGACATACGAGACGCCACCATTGCTAGAAGAATCTCCGACGGGGAGCCGGCGAGCGTCCACGCTCGAAGCAGACAACACTACTCTGCGCGACGACCAGTGCCCCATCTGTCTTCTTGAATTCGAGGATGGTGATGATCTACGCGTCCTTCCGTGCGCTGGGCAGCACCGCTTCCACCAGGCCTGTGTCGATCCGTGGCTTCTCCGCGTGAGCACGTCATGTCCATTGTGTCGAAAGGACTTCAACCCGGAGCTTGAGGAGCACGCAGATGCGAGCGAGGACGAGGACGAGCCCCAGCAGCACCGCATCACCCGGGGATACCTTGCGCTGATTCGGCGCGCGCGCAGACGGGAGCACGGCGAGGAGGATGCGCGGAATGCTGGCAGATCGCGACCACGAGAGGCGGACCAGAGCGGCCCGGGAGGATTTTAGCCAATTGACTTTGCTACATGACGTTAAGCAGTGTAGACGGCGACGCCGGCGTCGGCACGAACAGGACAATTAGCACTACAACTGTAAATGTATTCACGACTGTAACGAAGGGGGAGGCGTTACATCAATGCTGACAACGGAGGCGTAATTCTGCTTGCATTCGAGATACCATCAACATTAACGACTTCTTTACGATGCTTGTTGTTCTACCTCCTGACGCCTCCGCCTTGCGCCTAGCCCCAACGCCCACCAGCATCCAGTCGGTAATCGGCCCTCTCAGCTGGGTTCTTCTCCTTGCTGTGCCCCAGCTGGACATGGTCCAGGACAGGCGATGCGCCTAACGCCGCCTGGATGGAGTGCAAAAGCGCCTCCGCCTCGCTACCGTCAGCAGTGCCCAGCGCCAAACCCACGTCCGACCACCCTCAACCTCGAAGCGCAACACGCCATTCTTGCCCGACACAGCGCTGCTAACGCCAACCACACACTCCCCCTTCTCGATCTTGACGCCCTGCCGCACATGGTTGAGAGGCACGACGATTCCCGCGAGCGGCAGCCCATCCACTACCGCCGGCCACTCCGTCTCGGGCACCTCCTCGCTCTCTTGGGGCACTGAGGGCTTGTGTGCCAAGGCGGCACTTAGACGCCGACCTAGCCCAGCGATGCCTTTCGGCTCGTCGTGTTCGGCCTCGTTCCCGTTGTGGGCATGCACCGGGCGCGTCTTGAGCAACGGACTGGCCACGGAGGGCGTGATCACGAGCGTATCCTGGTCTCAGTAAGCACCCACCCACCATGCGCTGCACCAGGCCACTTACCGATCCTACGCCAACACGACAGCGCCAGTACCACGTCTCGGCATTGCTGCGCCCGCGGCTCAGGATCCGCGTGAGTGCGTTCTCGGCGCTGGGTCTGCGGGCGGCGCTCGGCCTGCGGGCGTCACTGGGGGGCTGGGAGTCGCTCGGCCGCCGCTCAGCCGCGCTGCTCCGCCGCCGGCTCAGGACTCGCGTGAGGACGTTATCCTCGTCCGCGAAGGAGGCGCGGCGGCTGCCTGTGCCGCCCAGGCTGATCGTCGCTACGCACGCGTGTGTGTGCTCGGGCTCCGGAGGGGGTGTCGTGACGAAGTCCATGGTGTACGGTGGACGTGGGTGGAAGCGTGGGTATATATCCTAAGAGGACCGGCCGGGTGTGCATGTGGGACATGTGAGCTAGCGCTCTTGATCACCTGCTCGGAGGGCTTGGCGCGAGGACAATGCATGAGAGAGGTACGTAGAGGTCAGATGATCGTGCACTACGGCTGTACCTGCCTATGTTGTTACTCGTTCAAGCTGTTCGGGACCGCAGTAGATGTCTTAGGCTATTTGTGCAACTCCGGCCCGAACACGATATGCTCACAGAGCCGAGACACCTATAATGTTCGTGGGAAACATTGCTGGCGCTGGTGAGAATGCAAGACTGACATCATCTGCATTTGTGATGATATCGCTTCTAGCCCTCAGTTTCAGCAGTTATAATGTCCTTCAACCAGCGGGACTTGAAGAGGTAGAGTGCAAGTGTAACGCATGAGCAACCGGGGGCAGCGTTAGAGCCACCGCGCCGTCGTAGCGACCCCCCGACGACACGAGCCATCATGTCGATATGCTCGACATGTTTGTGCCGTCCCACACTGCGCCACTCGGCAGCTCGGCAGCGTGCATCCGTTCCTCGTGCCTGGCACAATCCGGACGTCACTAAGCGCCATCCTCATCCTATCTCTTGGCTTCGCACTCCTCAACTCCTCGCCCATCTCACTTGGTCAGCAATGCTCGCCGCTTTCCTCCTCCTCGCTGCGGGCGCTTCGGCCCTTGTCCACCAGTCGCCGCTTATTGACGACGCGCCGCGCGTCAATGTTTCGCTGTTTGTCATGAGTCGGTGTCCTGACGCGGTGAGTAGATCTGGTGGCGTCCGACTCGCGACGTACGACGCGTCGGCCAAAGATGTCGCGTTCTATTAGGCATCTCGAAGCCAGTTGGCATCGATGGCTGTCTCGTCAGTGGTGTCTGCTTGTCACACTATTGTGGTGGACTGTGAAGCAGAAACAATCCCAAGCCTCGCCACCCTGTATACAAACCTCACTGACACCAGCGCGTCTGTGAGAATGTCTTCGAGGAAGTCCTCAAGCTCGACCACATCCTTTCCAAGGTCCATCTCGAGGTAGACTACTTGGGGCAGTGAGTCTCCTTCCTCTTCCATCTGACGCCAGCATCGACAAGAACGCCCCATACGGCGTCGAGTGCATGCATGGCGACCTGGAATGCGCTGGTAACGCCCATCAGCTCTGCGTCCGTGCGCACGCTCCACTCGACAAGTTTTACGCCACCCTTAGCTGCATGAACTACGGCAACTTTCCGGGCTCGATTGGCACCGTTGCGCTTACCAAGAGATGCGCCACAACCGCGGGCATCGACTGGTGGCGCAGTGGCGTTGGTAGTTGCATCGAGGGCAAGGACGCGGAGAAGGCAGGCCGGCTCGCCGAGCGCGAGGCGTGGCTCACCGGCACTGAGATCGAGCTCCCTTCGCTTCCGGACCTCGACGAGCTGGATGAGTGGGCCGAGGCCGCTGATCTTGACCACCTGGATGAAGAAGGACAGAAGCGCTTGCGGGACTCCGTCAAGCACACAATCAAGGAGGGTGTTACGAAGAGCTGCACCATTCGCATCGCTAGTACCCTCAAGCATGCGCCGCGGGAGTGTGTGGTCGACGGTGGCGTGTGGAAGGGTTGCGATGACGGCCACGCTGCATCGGACTTTGCCCGAGTCATCCGGCAGGAATGGGACAATCTGCAAAAGTAGTCACCACCAGCCTACCCTCGGACCCACGAGCTCCAGTGAGCTCCGGTGAGCGCACCTGGACCGCATTGTACTCTCCTATGCATGTATCGTTACTGTCATCCTCTCGGGGCTCGGTGACGCCTGGAGCTTGCCACGCCGGGCAATCTCGGCAAACCCCTATCCCCGCCACGTGATGCGGAGATAGCCAGCTGTCCGAGCCGGCGCGACTCTCGCGCCGACCAAAAGTCAAAGTGTCACCATCCATCTCTCCATGAGCATCTGACATGCTCTCCCGCCTCGTCCTGCGCCCGCGCGCGGCACCCGGCCTCGCGGGGCATGGGCCGGGCCGACCCCCACCACGCCGCCTCGCCTCGGCTGCCCTGGCGGTGGACCCGGGGCGCTCAGATTGGGCCGCGAGGTCCGAGGAGGAGCGCACGCCGAGGGCGAGTCCGAGGCGAAGCGAGATGGCGCGGCGTCCAGACGTCGAGTCCGTCGCCGCTACCTCGGCCACCTCGCAGCAGCTGGCTCCGGTGCCGCCTTGCCTGCCCCGACCTCCAACATTGCGCCCATCACAACCCCGGCCCGCATCACCATCTCAACAGCCCCGACAGAAGATGCCCCGCGGCGGCTCGCGCCCCGCCCCCAACGTACCTGGTGAACCGAGCCGGCGTGTTGTTGAGGTATTTCCTCGTCTCAGGTCTGGAGGGAACGCTACGCTCCCCGAGCGGACGCCTTCCGTGTCGCAGGCTGACGGAATCGCTGACTCTGCCGGACAGTACAACTGGGCGCTCGGATACCGAGGCGCAGCGTCTTCGGATGCCGACGCGCGGATACAGGCAGTTGCCGCGCGTTTGGAGCGCCAGTATCCAGACCGACCGGAAAGCCATCCTCCGCTAGCGCCTACCACCACATCCACACCCACATACACATACACATCCACTTCCACATCTCCTCCCACTCCGCCCCGCCTCGCCCCACCGCTGCCGTCCGTGATCCACGCCCTCCTCCCCGTCGCCTCCCGAGCGTCGCCGGCCGAAGCGCTCGCGCACCTCGAGCACAACCCGCGCAAGCTGAACCCGGCTGCCGTTGCGGCGTTGGATACATGGGCGTACCACACGAACGACGAGCGCACGCGCCAGCGCCTGCGCCTGCTCGCGCGCGGCGAGGGCGTGCGCATTTTTCCTATTGATTACGGAGATCGCTGGAACCACGCATCCTGGAAACTTGAGCGGAGGGGACACCGGCGGCCCAACAAGTTCCTCTGGCAAAAATACCCGCCCTTGGATACCTTGGGGGGCATGAGTTCGAGGACATTGTTGCGTCACCAGCACGCCCTGCTCTTGTCCGGAAAGGGATACGCTTTGGACGAAATCCTAGGACTGCTGCATGTCCTTGAAGCGACCTCTGAACATCGCCTCGACGCTCTCCACCTCGCTCTCGCCTACGCAAGCGCCATGCAGGTGCACAGCCTGCTCAGCTCCTTCGCCACCAACCCGCAGGCGGTAACGGCGCCTACGCCTCAGCGGTTCTCGCGCCAGACCGTGCATCTTGCGCTCCTCACCCGCCTTCGCCGCCGGACCCGCGTCGCGGACGTGCTGAGAATCCTCGCTCGCTTCGACGGCCCGCCTCGCCGCACCCCTGGCCCCGAGACATGGCGTCATGTGGCGAAGCACGCGCTCGCGCACGACGATGCCGACCTCGCACGTCTCGCGATGGACGGCGGCCTATCTGAACTCGGCGCGCTGCGCGCCGCCGCGGCTCGTAGCCCCGTTCCGCGGCCTTTTCAGCCTATCTCCATCAATGCGGACACGGACATCCAAACCCGCCGGCGCGCCGAGTTCGAAGAGGGCCGTGCGACGGCCGCTGACCCACCGAAACCAAAATTCCTGCACATCGGGAAGCACACGACGCGCTGGAACTTTGTGCTCCACGCATGCGCGGACCGCGGATGGGCGGTACGCGGCGACGTGCCCGAGGGTGAGAGTCCCGTCCCACGCCTCCTGCGCCGCTGGAATTGGCTCGGCGAGGAGGGGAGCTTTGCGCGCCGCACTGATCTGGTCCTCGAGAGCGAGGTGCTGGCCGCTGCGGAGGAAGACGCGAGGCAGATGGACGAGGCTGCCCCGCTGCCGCGCCAGCCCCGGACCAAGTCCAAGGATGCCAAGGAGCCGAAGGAGGGCGTCAAGGACACGACGCCCGCCAACTTTGGCACAGGGTTGGGCCGCCGCGTCGTCATTGACGGCGTCGCGTACCGTGTCCAGAAGTACGAGGGGCGCAAGGTCGCTCTCACGTCGTGGATGCGGCGCCGGACGCGCGCGACGATGCGCGGCTGGCAGCGCGAGAAGGAGAAGGCCGCGCGCGAAGCTAAGGCTGAACGAGAGGAGAGCGCGGCTCGCACCAAACGGGACGAGCAGTGGGAGGACGACTGGGTCGATTCGGAGTATGCCGACGAGCATGACTACGACGATCCTGCCCCCGCCCCCTGCCCTGTCCAGAAGCCCGCGTCCGCGCCGCTCCCAGCCTACGTCCTTCGCCGCTCAGCCGACGGCTCTGCCTCCCCCGAGTCGATGGTGCTCGCCGCGCCCGCACAGCTCCCCCCGCCCAGGCCGCGCTTCGCCGAGGTGCAGAAGGAGAAGGAGGAGAGCAACGCCGACAAGAAGAAGTTCGAGCTACCGGCATACATGCGCGATACGACCACTTATATGCGTGACGCATCGGCCAACATCATGGCCGAGTATCAGGCGCTCAAGGGCGGCATGAACTCCGGGATGCGGCAGCGCGCGATGCGCCTGGCCAAGGCGGCCAAGGTGGCGGCGCGCAATGCCGAGCTCGCGGCGCGGAAGGCGGCGAGCGGCAAGGTCTCGACGAAGAAGAGCGGGATCGGGAAGGGGGCGGCGAAGAAGAAGAAGAAGAAGTAGCATTAGACTGCATATGCATTGCCTGTTCTCGAAGCACGAGTTGGCCTTGTGGTGAAACTCATGCATGATACAGACTGAATACAGCATGTGCTCTACGTCATGCCTGGCTGTCTACCAGCGCTGCTCAGCAGCCACGACCTCACAGCTCGATGCTGGCGCAGCGAATCGGTCCGCGCTTGTCGAAGAGCCCCGTCACGATGAGGCCACCCGATCCGTCCGAACACGCCGTCGCGCCAGACCCAAGGATGCGGCCGCCGTCCTCAAACACTGGCGTGATGCGATCGTCAACGCGCGTGAACATCGCATTCAACCAGCCCTTCTTCCCGACCTTGGGCACACGCACAGCCGCGGCACGCGTGCCACTCAGCTGAGCGCCGTGGCTCTTGGCACACTTGGTGAAGTCGAGTCCCGAGGGATGGCCGCACGCAAGGAATACGTGGTGTGTGTCGGTGCGCACAAACCGGAGGTTGTCCACCATGAAGCCCGCGGGGATAGACTCCCGATAGCTGAGGCGCCCCGCCATCGACACGTCGTGCGCGTCGGGCAGCAGTGCAGGGTACACGTTGTAGATGTGGATATTGGCCGTGAGACACCCCGCTACGGCGAGCACACTGCCATCGTCACTAAGCGCAAGGCCGTTGGCGAGGGCAATGCCACGCGCCAGCACCTCGCACTTCGCATCTTCACTGTCGGTGGCCGTGAGACAGAGGACCATGCCACCGGGCACAGCGAGGAACGTTTCGAGCGTGTTAAGGATCTTCGAGTATTGCGCGCTGTAACGGAAGCTGTTGGTGACGAGCACGGTGTCTTCGGAGAGCGGAACGACAGCGTTGGGGGTGGAGAGGGAGGGATGGGCAAGCGTGCGGAGGTGCTGCCCGCGCAGCTTGCCGGCCACAGCCGTAAGGCGGAAGATCTCTACCGAGGGGCGTGTAGTATTAAGGTTCGCAACTGCAAGAATGGGCTGGGTGCGGTGAACCCCAACGCCGAGGGGGTGCAGCTCGCTCGCAAAGTCGTGGACAATGTCGTATGCCTCAGCACGCCCGTCGCCCAAGGGGTAAGCGACGAGGCGTCCCGGCTGGGCCTTGGCGGGGTCTCCCTCGGCCGCAAACGGATTGTACACGTCACGCGAGGGATCGCATGAGAAGATGGCAACACGATCCTCGCCTTCTCCCCAGACGACCACGTCCTCGCAGTAGGGCAGATCGCCGGGGGCGATGCGCTCCAGGGAGACACCGCGCTCCACGGTCATCTCGCTGTCTGGGTGGGCAATGTTTGCCTCTCTGAGCTTTCCGTGAAGGCGCACCAGAGTCACATCGGGAGCGGGCCGGAGGGGTAATAGGACGCGGTACAGGTGCAGCAGGTAGCTGGGGATGTAGAGAAGAAGGAGGGGGGGCTGAGGTCAGTCTGAAGGTAGAGCAGCTCACATAGAGGGCGACAAGCGACGGCATCGTGACTGAGACAGTGATGAGGCAAGGATAACAGTGATTATATGCTTGCTCAGCTCTTCGCGATGATGTGAAGCGTGAGAGCGTCGTTAGTCGATGGGGAGCGACGTGAACCGTCCTCCCACGGAAAGTGGACCTCCCAGGTGGAGGTCAGCTCACGTGATCCGCAGGCCACTTCATGACGCGTGCGGGGCCGGAAATTTGGTCAATCGCTCCATCCATCTCCTTCAACGCCATGTCGCGCTGGGCGAACCCAACGTCGTTCCTCCCCGCCCTCCCGCGGGATCAGGGGAGTCTGGCGCCGCTCGCTGCCGCCGACCTCATCGGGTACATGGAGGTGCTGAAGGAAATGTACATGCCGCCAATCCACGGCGGATTCACGGCGGCTGACATCGACTTCGAGACGGACGAAGCAGACAGCAGCAGCGTTGGAGCCAACGACTCTGGGCAGAGGGGTAAGTGGAGGAAGAAGAAGCGCACTCTGTCTGGCGGAAGCATCGATCTCCCTGGCCTCGACCTCGATATGGAGGGCCTCGGGCTGAACGAGCCAATCGATGAAGAGCCGGAAGAATGGCATGATGAGAACACGGACGATAACGAGGGCGGCTACTCTGATCCGTTTGAGCGCGAATGGGCCGAGAAGTGGCTGAACGGCGTCGTGCGTCGCGCCCAGACCTGGCTCGAGGCTAATGACTACGAGGAGCCTACGCCTGAAGAAGACGCCGCGACTCGCGAGGTTGAGGCAGTCCTTCGCGACGCGACCGCTGTGCTGGCACTCATGGCGGGCACGTCCGCTGCTGGTGGTCTCACGCGCCACCTCCTATTCCCACTCGCCCCCGAACTTGCGCCAGGCCTCCGCGCGTTCCGGCCGCTCGACACCGCCGGCCTGTCGCCCGAGACGACGCGCTTCCTCGCGCGCCTGAGCTCTTCCCCAACCGGGGGCCTCGGCCGCTCCCCAGTTCTTGCCAGCTCCCCCCTCGCCCGGTCACCCGGAACAGGCCGGGGGCGGTCCGCGGCCCTCCCTGTCCTCCTGCACGACGCGCCGATCACCGACCACATCTCGGTCGGTGTGCAGACCTGGGGCAGCGCGATCCTCCTCGGAAGAGAGATGTCACTTCGTCCCACGACATTCGGCCTTTTCCTCCCACACAGTACGCGCGTCCTGGAGCTGGGCGCGGGCACTGGGCTTCTATCCATTCTCTGTCGAAAGCTGCTGGACTTGCGTGCCGCCACGGCCGCAATGGGCGCGCCCACTCCCGGCCCGATGGGCACATCACCGGAGAAACGCGCCATTCCTGATCCCGGGCTGGTGGTTGCGACAGACTTCCACCCGGACGTCCTCGCGAACCTGCGGGTCTGTGTGGACTTGAATGCGACCCCCCGTTTACCAGAAGCGCCACCAGCCGCAGGCATCGAAATCGCCAAACTTGACTGGTGCACGTTCCCGGCGTTCATGGACGCGCGAGCACGACTTATCGCTCGAGACGCACTACACGAAGGGGTGGAGGGGGAGCAGGAGGAGCTGGTCCGTTGGCTCGACGAGCCGTTCGACTTGGTGATCGCCTCCGACTGCGTCTACGACCCCACACACGCGGGCATGATCCGCCAAGTCGCGAAATGGGTCGTGCGCCCCCCAGGGCGGGGTGACACGGGGGGTGTTCTCGTGAGTCTACCGGCAGTCGAACGGAGGACGCTTCCTTAACCGAATTTCCCTGCATGGCTCATTGACCCCAATACTAATACCAGCACCTCCTCTCGCCCATCCGGCCGACATTCACGCCCGAGCTCGAGTCAATTGACGTCGCGTTTCCCCCGCTTCAGTCATATCCTCCACTCGCGGAACGCCGGGCGGCGGCTAAGGCTGCCCTGCCATCCGATGCGCTGTGCACCAGCGTCCCGGAGGGAATGCGCGGAGAGGGACTGGGGGCCAAGCACGGGCTGCGTCTCGGCGTGCGAGGCGGCAAGCGGGCGGTGCAGGGCCGCAAGGGCGAAGGGAGGACTGACGAGGCTGGTGGGTACTGGTGGTGGGAGGTTGGGTGGGGGTAGCGGGTTGTCGACGGTAGAGTGGGGTCAATGCAAGCATAGACCGGTCAGCACCGCCAATTGTTTGCCACATCCTCAGCAGTGTACTGCATCCTTGCTGGAAAGGTCAGGAGCGCCTTGTATTCGCATAAAATTTCACAACCATCATGATACGTGACATTGAGCGGTGCGTACGTATGATACCCCTACTGCCTCTTCACTCCGCCATCCACCACCGCATCCCCCGGATGGGTCATATACCGCTCCTCCCACAACCATCCGTCATGCTGGGGTGCCTTGATGCTGCCGCGCGTCACAAACCCCCTGTGGCCGTACCACGCGAGATTGCTCTCCGTGCCAGTGGAGAGCGCGAACGGGCCGTCGACAGCATCCATCTTGGCGCGCATCAGCGCGCTGCCCACGCCGCGGCCCTGCGCGTCGGGGTGCGTCCCGAGGAACGAGAGGAACCACCACGCCTGCTTTGAGCCGGGCACGATCGAGTCGAGCTTCATGAACTCTGGCACTACGACGGTTAAGGCATGCACCGCGAGGTGCTCAGGCATGGCTTTCATGCCGCGGGCGAAGAACTCGGTGCTGCGCGTGAGTTGTACGCTGAGAGCTGAGGACGGAGACAGGATAGGAGGGGGAAGGAGAGGAGGGCAAGAGACTAACCCTTCATCCACGCCTGGCGGGAGCCAGAGCGCCACGCCGAGGATCTTGGTGTCTTCGGCCACCCAGACTTGCCAACCATTCGCGAAGGCGTGGCTCACTGCGTCGGTGAATACGAGGCGGGAGATGGCAGGATCAGCGGACCAGAGCCCAGCCCATGGTCGGTCTACGTCAGCGCCGCCGCGGCATCAAGTACAGGTCACGAAAGAGGCTGTCAGCACCTCAGCGATCTCAGCGCGCAAAGCGTCTATTGTCAGATAGGGTCGGATGGGGTCGTACCGTCGGCCTCCTTGACGTGACGGACGGAGACGGCCATTGGAGATGAGATGGAGGAGTTGGTGTTTGCGCCTCTGTCGTTCAATCATCTTGTCTTTAAGCACTACCCCTGCAAGTGCAACATTCGGACGCTGGCGCCCGGCGGGTTGGCTGGCTAGCTGCCGGCGTGATGACATGACTGTGGAATGTCGCGTACGTACTCCGCGATCCGCGAACTCCGCGTCGTAGCCGTTCGCAGTCGACCGCATCCGACAAGGTACGGCGGAGACCACTGTATACTCCGCATCCCACCTCCCCACCCGCATCCATCTGGTGCGGCATGCGCCGCCGTGCCACGCTCATGCATGAACGTGTCCGATGCATGTCGTCCAGCTCCGATGCCGCGCACGCCCAGCGTGCGCCGTGCGCGCGCATCCGAGCCCGCTTCTCTACACCTCTATCTGCCCCGCGCACTATGCGATCTCCGCGTCGCCAGGGCACACCATCAGCCGCTCGGTCCACACGTACCCGTCTACCAGCGTGGCGCCCACCTCACCGCGCTTGACATACCCCCTGCCCTCGTAGAACGCCTGGTTGGCATCGTTTCCCGTGCTGAGCGCGAGCGGCGTAGTCCCCGCCCGCTCGGCTCCGGCCTTGAGCAGCGCCGTGCCCACGCCCTTACCCTTCGCGTCGGGATGCGTCGCCAGGAAGGCGAGGTACCACCATTTGACGTCGTGGCCGGGCAGGATCGTCTCCATGATCCGGAACTGGGGCGAGATGTGGGACACGAAGTGGTCGCGATGCGCTGGGGGGAGAGCGACGATGGAGCGGCGGAGGAAGGTCGTGCTGGGATCAGTTGTGGTTCATATGGACGCGCCAAGTGGCGGAGTGTGGAAGCGGGACGAGCACTCACTCAAAGCCCACGCCGGGAGGACACCATAGCGCGACGCCGAGGATCTTTTCCTCCTCCTCCGTCACCCACACTTCCCATTTCTGCAGAGCATTGGTGATGGCGTCGGAGAACAGACTCTCGGTGAAGGCCGGATCCGAACCCCACATGCTGACCCACGTGTCGTCTAGCGTCAGCGAGGCTAATGCACGAGTGCGCAGTGAGCTAGTGAGTGGAGTTGCGGCATGCGCGGCATGCGGTGGGCGGAATGGGAGGTGAGCGTAGAACGAGATGAGGCGAAGGCAAGCGGGTCAGGGGGTGAGGAATGAAGCAACGGGACGCAGAGAGGCTTCAAGGCTCACTCGCGTACACGCACAGGTCAAGAAGGAAGCAGTCATGCACTGCGCCAGCTCGGCGCGGAGAGCTCCTGTCGCGTCGGCGGCGGTGATCTGGCGGACGCGCATGGTGGATGGTGAGATGGTTTGAAAAAGACGACGCGTCGGCCGGTCTCGATCACGGCAGATAGCCGGCGGCGATGGCCAAGCGTTATCTGCCCTGTTCCATCGTTTCCATCCGAGTCGACGCGCGCAACGCGGCATATGCATATTATAACCAGGCGAGCTCCAGTCGCCGCTGTAGAAACGTTGCCCATCCCTATTCCTCCAAACCCGTCCCGACGACGCTACAGCAGCGCTTCCATGGCCACGCCCTGCTCCACCTTTCTGCGCCACTCACGCCGCCAGTGGGTAATGAGGTCGCGCACGCCAGGCTGCCACAGCAGGCGCCGCATCCATTCGAGCATGGCGTCGTCGTCCTCGGGCACATAGTAGCTGCTGAGTAGACTCAAGATACTCTCAAAGTCGGCGGACGGGTGTGCGAGCTCGCGCCGATAAGCCCAGAGAAGGGCTATGACCGCAATGATCATGACATCGATGCCGTCCAGGAACATGGCGTCCCACAAGCGCAGTTGGACGTTGAATGGCACGACGTTGACGAAAAGTGTGATGTAGATCTTGGCGCCCCAAGCCGAGGACGAGATCATGTTTCGTTTCTGTCGTCAGTTGCTGTAGAAGGTGAGGCTCACGAAGCTCATGTACACATCCGGCAGGATCGACTCCATTAGCCGCTCCTGCACGTAGAACGTTTCGAGCAGGCCCGGGAATCCCGGCGCAAACATGCCGTGCATGTCGTACAGGTCGTGTAACCGCACCATGAGCGAGTATGTTCGCTAATGTTAGTCAATGTCGATGCAGCAAACTCACCTCAGGCTCAAAGTAACACAGCAAAGTAGCAGCAACACTCCCCATCCCCTGGCAGTACCCGCATGTCCCGCAGGACTGGGAGAACGCGTGGAGGACATGGAACAGGGCACGCTGCCCGTGCCCAAAGCGCGTGCGGAATAGCGCATGTCCCGAAATGGTGCGCGGCACGTCAAGGTCAATCTGCACATCGTTCGTGCTCGGCAAGTCTTTGCGCACTGTGTAGTCGGCCTCGAGCGCCTCATGCCCAGGTACGCGCTCGCCCTTGCGCCGCGCGTCGTTAGCCGCCGCCTCAGCGAGCGTCCACCACGCCGCCATACGCCATCTGTCCGGAATGCCTTTCCACACGCGAGTCTTGTGCTTCCCGGCCTCTTTCGAGCTCCACCGCCACCCAGTCACGTTCCGCCCCTCATCCCTCTCCGCCACACTCATCATCGCCATCCATTTGTTGACGCGCTCGGCCTCCTTCTTCCTCTGCCGCGTTTCATCGGTTCGGCTAGGCCCACCAGGCGGCAAGCCGGGAGGTGAGGGCGGTGGTCCCTTCGCCGCCGGTACTTTGACTTCGGTGGCCCTCTTCGCCGAAACCTTTGGATGCGAGCTGAAAGGCGCGACCGGGACGCGGACTAGACGATGCTCGGATCGCGTCAGCGTGTTCCGGTCCACAAAGCCGTAACGATCCAGGCTCTTGAGGAATTTGAGCTCCTGGTCGCTCATGATCCCTGTATCCGGCCAAGTTGTCGTCATACGTGACCCGGACCCAATGCCGCCGCGCGTACGCTCGACTCCCTCGTCCCACCCGTCACCGAATACGCCCTCGATATCCAGACGTGCGTCTGCGGTCAGTTCTGGCTGGAAGAAATATAACTTACAAGTAGACCGCACATGATACGCATCGGTGTCTTCGCCGGGGTATTGTGACGAGACTAAGGAAGTGTTCGATGCCGCCAGACTGGACACGGCAGAGCCGTTGCGGGAAGATGCCGCTATGCGTGCAATGCTCGGGTGCACCGGCGAAGACGACTCGGTCGGGGATAGCCCTGGCGGAGTCTGCGGAGAGGTGTCCACGCGAAGCCGTAGAGGGACGGCGGACGACGAGCGCCGCTCGCCTGGCGGATCGGGTGACTGATGTACGACCACTTCGGGAGTTCGGGGCGGAGTGCGGCTGGACCGCGATGTCTTCTCGGGCGTCACAGGTTCTGCGATCCACGTTTGCGCGAGCTGGTGGGGCACGACATGTCTCTGGGCCGGATGCGCATAGTCGTGCGTAAGCGCCTGCCCTACTGCTATGCCCTGTGGTGCAGGATGCTGAACCCCGCCCTCGGAGTGCCCGCCGACGCTCCATTCATCATCCTGGCGCGTGAAGTCCTGTGCGGTGGCCGGGCGAGCAAATTCCCAGTCGTCGTCGCGCGATCGCTGTTGCTGTAGGGGCACCGAGACATAGTCGGTCGCGTGGAATGGTCTAGGGGTCGTATACACGTCTTGTTCCTCATCGTCGTCCGAGTACTGGCTCGCATCGAGCTCCTCGAGCTCTTCGGGGCCGCCGGGCATTTCCCGCGCCTGGTGCGGGATGACGTGCGAGTCTGAGGCCGATGCCCAACTATCGCGCCCGTACAGGTTGTAGATGTCGTTCGCCTCTTGCGCGCTCTCAAAGTGCGAGCTGCGCTGCCCATGACCGTAGGGAATGGCCAGGGTGGAATAGATAGGAGACGGACAGAGGACGAAGTAGGAAGTGCGGCGAGAGGTGGAGGAGGGGCAGAAGAGGTGTGCACAGGACAATGGCGCGGTCGCGTCGACGCGTCGCAGCGAGGGAGCGTTGGCGCCGACGGACAAGAGATGAGGGAGACGAAGAGACAGAGAGACGAAGAGCGAAGACGAGGCGATGCGAGGAATGGGGGATGATGATGGACGATGTGCGGTGGGAGAGAGCGGGGGCGGGGAGCGTCAGGGACATTGCTCATTGATGCGTACGCCACGCGCAGCGCAGTACGCGCGCACGCCGAAGCGTATTGTTCACTCACCACTCGCTGCACATGCACTCGTCGAGACTGACAAAATTAGCTGGAGTAGGTGGAAAGAAACGATAGATCAGTTGCAGAGGATCAAACGAGGTCCGTGACAACCCAAGTCTGAACAGCAGCCAGTTGCAAGGCCCAAGACAACAGGCACTGTCTGGCACCCAGAGTCCCCGTCTCACATGCTTATCGAGGCACAAGTCATGTATGAGCTCCATTCCCGTCCTCGCATTGCATGCACAGATAGTTGACTGCTTGTTACGCTAGCAGATGGCGAGCCAACTCTGATTTGGACTGCCTAGCTCGGGTTGCATCTGATGGAGAATCCCTGCGGCCCGCAGCTGTTAGCCTCACAGCGCCGAGCTCGACTGGACTCCGACACCTCCCACAGCCTGATTGTTGAATCACCGCGTCCGTTGTATCGCGGCCATGCACTCTTATAACCACAGTCGAGCAGAAGAGCAACCAGCCTGGATCCTACATTACGGGCTGGACCACCGGGAGTGCGTCACGCCAAGGGCGATCGAAGTTCGCCTACAAAGAGCAAGCAGTCAGACAGACGTACGTCGCCCGAATGTGAATAGCGACACTGAGCGGCTGCCGACCGCAGAGAGAGTGAGCTGGACTGGGACGATGGAGAATAGAGGCGTCTGGAAGAGAGATGATTGAGGAAAAACATGTTCATACCATGTACCAATAGAACGGGACCAAGTGCCCGTGCTCCGTTGACCGACCGGCAACGCCCACCCGGTGTCCGGCGGTGATGCTCATCCGCCGCATATCCACAACTCGTGCCATCGTCATCTCTCTTTTCCTCTCAAGCTCCACTTTCGTTACCATGAGCCAACTCGTACAGGCATACGAGCAGCTCCTCCTCGACAATGTCAGCACCGTCAACACGGTCGAGTCCGCCATCCGCAATGTCACCTGGTTTCTCCCAGGCCGCTTTGCCGACGCCGACATTGCCTCCGAGGGACGTGAGTTGCCCCTTCCCCTCCGTCCTTTCGCTGACCTGTAGTTTATGCATTGCTCTCGGTCGTGAGCAGCGTGCATGACAGACTGCTGGAAAAGCGTATCCCCGCTGCCCTCTCGCTCCCGCCCCATCCGTTCGCGCCGGAGGCCGGCGGAGGGCCAAGCACAGTCCGTCAGCCTGGCTTCCCTCCCGTTCCACGCCTCACGCCCATTCTCCCCGCGCCCAGCGAACATGCCCGCTACACACGCTACTGGAGCGAGCGGAGTGCGACATACCGCCGCGCATCGTGCGCCCTGACTACTATCACGTACATCGAGCTGCTGAGTGAGATGGTTGCCAAGCGCCGCGCAGGAGACCGCATCCGCTGGAAGGTCGTCATGTCCATCGAGAGCGTCAAGTGAGTATGTGTTCTCGACGGCTCTAATAACCAGAACTATACTGCGTCTCCTCATCATCGCCATCACGCGGCGACCCGTGCTTGATCCCCCGACGCCGAGGCGCGAGTTCGACTTTGCCACCGTCCCTCAGGACAAGCTCCTCCCGCGCTCCAGCTCGGGCGAGAAGAAGAAGGGCGGCAGTGAGCGCCGCCCCGTTCTCGGCGCTGTGACTACGCGTGCGCCCCTCAGAAATCACCTGTATCCGCTTATCAGCTCCCTTCCCGAGGAGTACCTTCCCCACCCACTTATGCTGGTGCCCGAGCTGGGTACGGGAAGCGAGATGGCGGCAGAGCTCCTCTCCGCGACCGCCATTCTCGTTCAAGTCGTCCTCCTCGTTCGTGCATCGGTGAGTGCCCTGAATTTGGATACGAGCTGAAATTAGCGTGCTCCCAATCGCGCACGGTACCACCCGGCGTCGCTGCCCACTCTCAGCCGCAGCTTGTGGCCATTTGCCGTCCCCATCGCGATGCAGCTCCTCTCGCGCCGCCTGCGTGCGCCCATTGGCGACTCTACTCTCCTCGCCGAGCACTACGCCCACGCCGACCGCCGCATTGCTTCCCATTTCTTCCTCCAAGGCCCTATGTGGATCGGATGGACTCGCCCCAAGGTCGTGGGCGTCATCAACTTCCTTGGCCGCATTCCGCTCATCTCTCTTGCGGGCGACCTCATCGGCGGATACCTTCCGCTTGTCGACGACTACTTCTGTGAGTTACGGGTTGTTCTGCCTGACCGCAGATATGGTTACGTGATTCCTCGGGTGGGCGAAGGACTAGGAGTACATATAGGCATGACATCACTTGTACAACTAGAAACCTGGGGTCAGCAGCGTTGCGGGGGAAAAACCAACAGCAGTCGCAGTCGAAGGGGCAGAGAGGTGTGCCGCCCGCCTCGGGGTCGATGCCTAGCTCAGCCTCCTTGAACACGAAGTATCCTTCTTCCGTGCGCTTGCCTGCCGTTAGCCTCCACGATTCTGTTTTACTCACGATCGGCGTCGCCTCGGCTATCGCGCCACATACGGTCCTCCTCAACCTCTTTGCGGTCGCGTTTCCCCGAAGCGCGCGCCTCCTTTGCACGCCCAAGAGCCGCGACGACAGCGACAGAGGGATCGACGACCTCTTCGACGGCGCCCGATTCTGGCTCCTCCTCCTGATGCTTTTCTTTTCCCTTCTCCCTCTCCTTCTTCTTCTTCTTCTCCTTCACCTCGCTCCTCCGCGCCGCCTCCTCCACCTTGGCCTTCTTGTCGTCGCGTTTCTTGCCCTTGTCCTTCTTAGGCTTGGGCGCCGCAAAAATATCGTCAATGGCGCCCGCGTCCGCCGCCACGGCCTTGTCTTTGCCCTTCTTGTCCTTGTCGGCCATGTCGCTCCTTCTCAGTGGTCGTGATGTTGTCGACCTTGACATCAGCAATGGGTGGCCAATCTTTGCCGACAGAATCTGATCCCGGCGGGGTCTCCAGATTCATGCCTGTCTGCGGTGAGTCGCGAGCGATGATTGTGAGTTTCATTCGCACTTCGCTCCACTCGTTTGTCGACTCTGGCTGAGATACTATGATCCTCGCTGTGCGGCCCATTACCGTCCTTCCACGATTTACTGCGTTGCCGCATCTATCGGGACGGCGTGCGCTCAGCTGTAGGTTCGAGATGAGAGGCGGCCGCTGATCGCAGCCGCTTATGCCCCCTTCCCCGACAAGCTCGCATTCGCGTTTGACATCGTGCGTCGTATTATCACGAACAGAGCGCTGATCTTAGGATGGTGTTCTCAAGCAGGGCAAGTTTATTCTGCCCCAGGCGAAGCGTGTCATGAAGCTGCTCACTGGGGAGGACGGGCAGCTACCTCGGTACGTCCAGTACCAGCCAAACCTGGCCCCTAGATCGGACCATCTCCCGTTGCTGACGACAGACCGGTCCCATTTCTTCTTATGACGAATGGAGGCGGTGTGGTAGACGCCGAACGAGTCAAGCTGCTGTCACGAGAGCTCGGTGTCGAGGTATGCATGGCGCTTTGCGCCCCTCTCAAAAGTCTAGCTGACCGCAGCTCGGCGAGAACCAGCTCGTGCAAAGCCATACGCCCCTGAAGCCCGCCATGGCCGAGTACGCGGACAAGGTGGTTCTCTGCATTGGTGGACCGAAGGACGCAGCGCGCAAGGTGGGCGAGTCGTATGGGTTGAAGAAGGCTGTACTGCCACACGACATCTTGCATTGGAATCGTTCCATTTGGGACAGGTACAAGTTCGGCCCGGCCGACGAGGAGCTAGTGCGGGTACGTCGTGTTAGACTGGTTCGTCACGACTGAGACCAGCACGACATCGACTTCACTACCACGGCCGTTAGCGCGATCTTCGTTGTTCACGACTCCTATGACTGGGGCCGCGATATGACCATCATCAACGAACTGATGCAGTCAGAAGGCGGGCTGCTCGGCACGATGCGGAAGGACCGGCATGTGCAGAAGCCTGGCGGAGAGGTCCCTCTCTTCTTCTCCAACCCCGACCTGGAGTGGAAATCGTACGTGTACCCATGCCAATTGGCATCTGACTCCAGTGACTATCCCGTGGTGCGGCTAGGTATGGGTGCCTTTTCCCTCTCCTGCAGCGCCGTGTACAAGGCTGCGACCGGACTCGACCTGCCGTTCACGCAGATCGGCAAGCCGCACCGCTTGACCTATGAGTTCGCCGACACCATGCTGCGGCGGCGCGTCAAAGAGCTTCGTGGGGTAGACCAGGAGCTGAATGTGTGAGTTCCTACCAAGCAATCTTGAGCTCACTGCAGGTACATGATCGGAGGTACGTGAGCAAGCCGAGATGTGATACTGACGCGCGCGTAGACAATCCACTTTCTGGTGAGTCTTGAGGCTTGACATGGGCTGATGATAGATATCTGGGGCGCCAACAACTTTGGATGGGACTCGATCCTCCTCCGCACGGGCGTGTACCAAGGCGGCGAGCCGAGCCACATTCCCTCGGCCATCTGCGATGACGTCGAGCTCGCGGTGGACTGGGCTTTCAAGAACGAGCGCGTGCGGACGGCCAAAGAGGCTTAGAGGGCAGTAGTGTGCTAGATTTAGAGTGTCTAGCACGATCCGCACAACATAGATGCATACAGACGCTGGAACGCTAGAGCAAGGCAGAAGGGGAGGATATGAGATGGTGACGATATGGCGATCGGGTACTGAAAATTAGGCCCCGCATTACGCTCGCTCAGCGGGTTGTGCCTCCATGTCATCCTTCATCCTTCCCCTCGCCGGTATTCATCATCCTCGCTCTTCCTTCTCACTTCTTTTCAACTCTCTCTCTCTTTCTCTTCAGCTCGTCGACGCGACAGCAGAAATGAGTTCGCCCACTCTTCCCACATCACAATCGACCTCGGCGTCGACATTGCCCGCCTCTCCCCCGGCTATCTCCCAGACACCTCGAGCCGCCTCGCCCGCCGCGCCACTTGCGGCGTCCACTCCTGCCTCGCCTGCCCAGGCATCTTCGTCGTCTCCAAATGTCCAGGTGTTCCGCCCCGCCGACGCGTCCTCGAAGCGTAAGTCGCCGTCGGTCATTGTCCTGGTCTCCGCCCCTCCACCCTAGTAACAACACCCATCGTCCTAGGCTGCACTCGCCGTCCTTCGCCCCTCCTCTCCCCCTCTCTCGTCTACTGCCTTCTTTCCTTCCTCTCTATCCCCAGAATCCCGCTCCTTTCGCCCGCTGTCTTGCGCAGATCAAGCTGACCCCAGCCGCCGAGCCTGACGCGTCCTTCTTCGAGCCAACGATTTCGGACGTGCAGAGCTATCATACCATGATTGTCGGCCGGTCAAAGCAGCTGAATGAGGCGCCTCTACTCACAGCGAAGCACCGTGAGGCGGAGCGTGCAGCTGCAGAGAAGCGCAAGGCGGACAAGTGGCCTAATGTAAGTCGCACATCCTGTTGATCGCAAGCTGACCGCAGGCTACCATTCGCATCAAGTTCTCTGATGGCACACAGATACAGAGCATCTTCCCTTCAACTTCCCCGTGAGTAACCGTACACTGCGCACAGCTGATGGCAGTATCCAGCCCGTGTACGCATTTGTGCGCGAGTCTCTCTCCTCCGATGCCACTGCCAAGCCATTCACCCTGTATCAGCCTCCACGCACCACCTTCCCCGAGCACCCCGTCCCCCAACCTCCAGCACCCAAGCACATCAACCCAGCTATGCGCGCGCGCGTTGTGCAACCCCAAATTGGTCCACAGCGCGGGCCGAACGCTGCTGGGATCAGAGGCGGCTCGGGAGGTAAGGAGAGCCTCAGCGAATTGGGGCTGGTGCCGCAAAGTGTCCTGCTGGTGCGGTGGGAGGACGCCATGATGAACTGTAAGTCATGTCCCAGGTGTTTATAATGACACCAGCCTCTGATTACCCTGCGCCTCTCAAGGACGAGTTACGCGCACAAGCTGCACCGCTTCCCCCGCCTGCCGTCAAGGAGCCTCCTGAGCAACCCAAGAAGCTCACAGGCAAGGCGGGCGAGGTCAAGATGCCCAAGTGGCTGCAGAAGGGCTTGATGAAGAAGAAGTAGAGGAAAGGCTAGAGCATAGAGAGCATGTACAGGGATGCTGTTCCGCGTTGCTTACAACTGTGCATGGGGACTACAACCCAGCCGTGCCCGTCACTCGTGCCTCGTCATGATCGCTGTGCTTTGTCGTCTACATTTGGTTTGCCACCTCGTCCTGGTCCTGGAACCGACTGGCCCGCCTTCACACCCTGCTGCCTAGCGCTCGCTGTTCTTGGCGCATCTGCGCGCCGTCTTTGCTCGAAGCACTCGTCGTATAGCCTACTCGATGTCGCCAGCCCCACCTTCTTCCGCCGAATCACACCGGCGTGTGCCGGAACAGATCGGGCGTCTTGCTAAAGTCGGCGAAGCGTCTCGGGACCGCGAGGTCGTCCTGGCCCGCGAGCGCATGCCTCGCCGCCGGCGCTGGCATCTCCCGTTCGTTGAGCACGCGCGTCGCCTCGGGCGTGTGGTCGTTATTCATGCGCTCGACCTGCTCGGCCACGTGCTCGTCGTGCCCAGCCTCGTGGTCTCGCGCCGCCTGCCGCATCGACGCCGCGAGGTGCATGGCGTCCTGCGATGCCGAAGGGTGCGAGTCGGCGTGTATGTGGGCGGGGTGGTCGTGCTGGTGCGCGTGCTCGTCGCTCATGGTGTGAAGGGGGGCGGGTGGCGAGGATATGCAAAAGCTCGGCACAGCTATAAACGTCTGCGCGGCATTCCACGGCGTCGTGTCCCGTGACACGGCAGTGTAGTGTATTATTAGTGGAGCGGAGGGCGTGGGACTCGGGGAATCGGGGGACATGTGTGATCACACATCTCACTTCTTATTTGGGCACAAAGAGGGGGGAATGTTGGAGACATCGATCTTGCGACTGGCGGGTTGGATCTCCGAGGCCCCGACGGCCGAGAGACTGTTGGAGACGGGGCGCGTCACTTGGCACCAGAGTATGCCAGAACCGTTGTCGGATGTCGGGCTTGGTAGAGCATGAGCGGAGCTGGGTGGCCGAAACACACTCGTCGCTGTCTTCATTGCTCGTCACGACGTGTGGTGTGACACAAAGGTGAGCGTGGCGGTGTGCGAAGCGAGGAGATCGAGGAGAGATCGGAGATCGAGGAGAGATCGGAGATCGAGGATGGGAGCGGAAAGAAGCCTGTTGATCTGTTGCAGATTGCGGAAGCGCGGAAGCATCTGGGCGCGCAGTACAAAACACACGCAACAGTGGCCAAACACGTTCTCACTCTCATTCATCTCATCCATCTCATTCACCTATCCTCCTTGCATCCATCCCATCCATCCTGGCTTCGTCGTTATCACAGCCAACCCTTCAATCATGACCTCCTCTGAGCCCAGGAAGACCTTCTTCCCATCCCACGTCTACAACTTCCCCGTCACCCAGTGGTGGGGCATCGTCTTCTTCGGTCCCCAAGACTTTGTTCCCTACAAGACCAACTGCAGGTTCAAGCTCCACTGGGTCGCGCGCGCTGTCAGCCGAAAGTGGCTCACGCTCATCCAGTCCCGCGACGTCGACGCCCTGGCGGAGATGTCGCTCGGGGATTTCGCGCTTGCCGTGTTTGACAAGGTTGCTGAGTTGTGAGTGGTCTTGCTGCTGTGTGGGCGGTCGGCTTAGCCTCCCGCCGTGGTCGTCTTTACCCCGCCCCACTTTCCCCCACCCCTTCCTCGTTAGACTGACACAACTAGGGTCGTCTGTACTCGCGTCCGCGATGACCGCACCGGCCGCATGATCAGTACCGGGGATGAGTGGATGCGCCAGATCCCGCTTTTCTCGTTGTTTGCGCATACTCTTGTGAGTCTTCCCTCACATTCTCACTCACCGCAGGCCATGGGCATTCTGAAAGAGAACTTTGACGAAAACGACCTCATGCGCTTCGCCAATCTTTCCGACATTCAGCCCTTTTTGCTCGCCGCAGCCAGCCGTATCTGGCAAAAGTACGTCGACAGTGGCTGTCCGCCGCCGACCCTGCGGGCACAAGGGTACGACGCTTGGGCGGGCTGGGTCGATGCCCACGTCCCTGCACTTGAATCGCTCCCGCCGCGCCCATTCACCAAAGTCAACCATGACGACCCCGACGCCGAGCCCACAATCGTGTGGCTCGACCACGAGTTGAAGCAGGTTCCTGCGCCCAAGCTGCGACCCGGTCGCCTTGCCAATGCTCTCAAGAGGGGCACTGCCCCCCCACACGCGCCGTCGACGACTCTGTCCCCGCCGTCCTCAGTGCCCTCGGCGTCCGTAGCCTCCGCCTCGGGCTTCTCGGGCTCCCCGCCTTCAAGTGCCCCTGTTCCGTTGTTGCACCCTCCGTCGCCTCGCTCCGCGCCCTCTTCGCGGCCCTCTCCGATGGCTACTATGCGCCACTTTTTCTCGCGCACGAGGCGCCCCCGGGTCCCGTCCATGCCGCCCAACCCGTAAGGTGCCAGCGTCGTGAGCTGTGTTCGTATTCCAATTGTATATGTGATCTGTGCAAGTATGATACATGAAGCGGGCCTCGATGCCTGATGACTCTCACATCGGATACAGGGGCAGGAGAATATGCCACATGGGAAAATGCCAGTCTGTGCCGCATGCCGCATACGCCGCCCGCGTACGCTGCATCCCCATCTTGCTCAATTGCTCATCCATCCATCCGTCCGTCTTCATCCCACAAAGTGCTGCGTAAGCACACTACCATTCACACCTCGCACACCATCCATCCACCCTCGCACACCGTCTATCCACCCTCGCACACCGTCTATCCACCTCGTGGACTGTGGAAGTACACAACGTTACCCCTCGGCGCCATCCATCCCCCTTGGCACACCCAACACTTGTCGCCAAGGCGAGTTGATGCATTTGGACGGGCAGCTGATTGCAGACCGTCGCCACCCTTGCACGCCGTCCATCCTTCGAGTACTTCTTCCGGGTCCTTACCCTGTGGTGGACTGTGGAAGCACAGGACACTCAACCCTCGACGCCATTCATTCACCCTTGGACACCATCCACCTGTGCACACCATCCACATACCCACAATGCCATGCAACACAAGGAAGACAGCAAAGGCATACTACCATTCAGACAACCACATCTGCTCTCCACCTGTGCTCTACTTGACACCACCTGCTCCTGCAGCCCTGCAGATGCTCTATCATCCTGCCAACCCCGATCATCTTTGTCAGGCCCCGCGCCGTTCGGAAAGGCGGAGGCTAGGGAGTGGTTGAGCACAAAGGTGTCCGTACACCGGATGCTGCTCCACCACCCCGATGACTCGAAGTCGACAACTGTGATAGGCGTGCAATAAGACTATGGTACTATGACGGGGTGAGAATACGACGAGTATCAAGAGTTGGGGGGAAAGATCCTGAGGCGTCTCCATACATGTGACGATACAAGGTGAGCGGTGCCGATGTGGGTACCGATCGGTACCGACGCCGTTATGAGATGTGGAGCGCCTTGCGATCAGGTTGCATGGTTATCGCGTGGTGGTTGCCACGTAGTCGGCACGTGTAGTCGGTGCTCGGTAGTCGTTGTCATTCGGATCGTCACAAGTGTCACTGTGGAGGCCAAGTGTCAGGGGTGGAGCCTACACGGAGGAGGGTGTTGGCTCGAACGAGGAGGATCAAGGACGTGAGGGACACTCGGGCGCTGGTTACCGAAGTGGACGAGGACGGGGTAGACGAGAGATTGACGTATGATCCATCGATAGAGCTACAGAGAGCTGAGGTAGCCTCTATATATGGATGACTAGGACAGGGGACTAGATAGGGGGCATAGATCCATGATGCCATAGACGATGTCGACAGATCTGGTAGTGATGTCGATAGATCTGATGATGAGGTCGATAGATCGGAATGGCGTGTAGGTGAATGAAGTCATGGATCTTGCAAGAGGAATGAATGATGTCAAGGG